GCCCATCGATGACAGACTGGACAGGGAAAATGTGGCACATATACACCATGGAATATTATGCAGCCATCAAAAACGATGAGTTCCTGTCCTTTGCAGGGACATGAATGAACCTGGAAACCATCATTCTCAGCAAACTGACACAAGAACAGAAAATCAAACACCACATGTTCTCACTCATAGGTGAGTGTTGAACAATGAGAACACATGGACACAGGGAGGGGAGCATCACACACCAGGGTCTATCGGGGGGAAATAGGGGAGGGAGAGTGGGGGGTGGGGAGTTGGGGAGAGATAGCATGGGGGGAAATGCCAGATATAGGTGAAAGGGAGGAAGGCAGCAAATCACACTGCCACATGTGTACCTATGCAACAATCTTGCATGTTCTTCACACGTACCCCAAAACCTAAAATGCAATAATAAAAAAAAAAGAGAAAATGGGGAGAAATGCCAGATATAGGTGATCGGGAGGAAGGCAGCAAATCACACTGCCATATGTGTACCTATGTAACAATCTTGCATGTTCTTCACATGTACCCCAAAACCTAAAATGCAATTAAAAAAAAAGAAAAAAAATTAAACCCCTAATTATAGGATTAATTATAATATAATAGTATCTGTAAATTGATGATCAACATCAATGGTGCCCTTCAATCAGGTCTAGAATCCTACTACGTTTTTGTAGAGAACTTTCCCTTTCTTTAACAAAACTGATTTCAAACATTCTCCATAATTGTCCAACTGTGAAATCACCCAAATTTCCCACTGCTCACAAAGGGCATGTCATTTTTTGCAGGTTAAAAACTAAAGCTATCATATGGAAGCTCCTTAAAGTCTCAATTGCTAAATCTACAAACTTTTTTCATCTACATCCATCTTAATCCATCTTCTTCATCTTCCCTTCCGTTCCTTCTCCCATCTAAGGCCCATTTTAAATCCTATCCCCTCTCATCTTTCCCAAAAGCCTGATTATTCTTTATCATCACTGATGTTACCTGTATATTCAAAACATTCTTGGTGTTTCAATCACCTTCTTAGGGTTATCTCATGTAAATCTTGCTCCCTACAGTCACTAATTTGAGAAAAGATTAAATTAGTTCTTGATACTTCATAAAGAGAAACATGGGGAAAATGATTTGTGAAATACAAGTCTGATCATGTTACCACTCTGTTAAAGCTCCCCCTTTTTTTTTTTTTTTGAGCCAGAGTTTCACTCTTGTTGCCCAGGCTAGGGTGCAATGGCATGATTTCAGCTCGTCGCAACCTCTACCTTTTGGGTTCAAGCGATTCTCCTGCCTTAGCCTCCTGAGTGGCTGTAATTACAAGAATGCACCACCACGTCTGGCTAATTTTGTATTTTTAGTAGAGATGGAGTTTCTCCATGTTGGTCAGGCTGGTCTCGAACTCCTGACCTCAGGTGATCAGCCCACCTTGGTCTCCCATAGTGCTGAGATTACAGGCGTGAACCACCACACCCGGCCTAAAGCTCACTTCTTACAGCTGTTTGAATACTCTATGATCCCACCAACAAGGCCTTTGCACATGCTGTCTTTGATTTGCAATGTTCTTCCTCACTTTATCTAACACAGTAATTAATAGTATAGACTCCCCAGCCAGAGGCCTAGGTTCAAATTCCTTTTCTAACACTTACTACCCATGTGAGTGACTTCAGTTGATTCATTTGTAAAATGAGAACAACAGTGTTTACCTTATAGGGTTATGGGAAGATAAATGAGTTGTTATGTGTAAAATGCTTAGAAGAGCACCTGGCACATACTAAATGCTCTAAATGTTTGCTAAGTAAATAAATAAACCTCTGTGTACTCTATCATAACAAAAGCCCAGATTCTAGAGCCAGATTGCTTGTGCATAAAGTTTGGCTCTAAGATTTATGCTGGACACTATGAGACCTTAAAATGTTACTTAACTGCTCATTTTTCTTATTTGAAAATAGAATAACAAACCTACATCATAGGTCAATTTTGAGGATTATGAGTTAATATAGGAAAGGCTAAGAACATCACTAAGAATACAGTAAATGCTAATAAATAACTATTACTTTCCAGTTATCAACTCAAGTATCACTTCTTCATGAAAGCCTTTTCTAAACCTGTTAGCCTATGCAGTGGTCTGCTATTTGTATCCACAGCACTGTGTCCCTTTGCTTCAGCCTTTACCTCAGTTTCTAATACAAACTTGTAAGTAATTTATTTATTTAGTGTCTTTTTTCCTTCTTTGAGACACAGTCTTGCTCTGTCACCCAGGCTGGAGAGCAGTGGCACCATCTCAGCTCACTGCAACCTCTGCCTCCGAGGTTCCAGTGATACTCCTGCCTCAGCCTCCCTAGTAGCTGGTACTACTGGTGCCCACCACCATACTCAGCTAAATTTTGTATTTTTGTAGAGACAGGGTTTCATCATGTTGGCCAAGCTGGTCTTTTTTGTTTTTTTCAGATTGAGTCTCACTCTGTTGCCCAGGCTGATGTGCAGTGGCACGATCTTGGCTCACTGCAACCTTTACCTCCTGGGTTCAAGCGATTCTCCTACCTCAGCCTCCTGAACAGCTGAGACTACAGGTGTGTGCCACCATGTCTGGCTCATTTTTGTAATTTCAGTAGAGGCAGAGTTTCACCATGTGGGCCAGACTGGTCTTGAACTCCTAACCTCAAATGATCCACCCACTTCAGCCTCCCAAAGTGCTGTGATTACAGGTGTGAGCCACTGTGCCTGGCCAGCCAGGCTAGTCTTGAACATCTGACCTCAAGTGATCTGCCCACCTCAGCCTCACTAAGTGCTGGGATTACAGGCGTGAGCGACTGCACCTGTCCTTTTTTTTTTTTTTTGAGACATTGTCTCATTCTGTCACACAGGCTGGAGTGCAATGGTGTGATCCTGGCTCACTGCAACCTCTGCTTCGTGGGTTCAGGTGATTCTCCTGCCTCAGCCTCCTGAGCAGCTGGGATTACAGATGGGTGCCATCATGCCCAGCTAATTTTTGTATTTTTGTAGAGATGGGTTTTCACCATATTGGCAAAGCTGATCTCAAACTCCCAACCTCAAGTAATCTGCCCACCTTGACCTGCCAAAATGCTGGGATTACAGGTGTGAGCCATTGTGCCCAGTGTGCATACACACACACACACACACACACACACACACACACACCCCATGAGAGAGAGTGTCTTTTTTTTTTTTTTTTGACAGGGTCATATTCTGGTGCCCTGGCTGGAGTGCAGTGGCATGATCCTGGCTCACTGCAGCCTCAACTTCCCAGGCTCAAGCAATCTTACCACCCCAACCTCCCAAGTAGCTGGGATACAGGCTCGCGCCACCACACCAGGCTAATTTCTAAAAATAATTGGGGCCAGGCATGATTTTAAGCTATTATAACATAAGTGGCCTTTGGAGACTGTAAGTAAAAATAAAGCCAGGCTTTAAAGGGTACAAGGCTGAAGTGGTGGCTCATGACTGTAATCCCAGCACACTGTGAGGCTAAGGTGTGCAGACCACTTGAGGTCAGTTCAAGACCAGCGTGGCCAACACAGCAATACCCCATCTCTACTAAAAATACAAAAAATAGTTTGTTCGTTTCTTTTTGAGATGGAGTCTCACTCTGTCAACCAGGTAGGAGTATAATGGTACATTCTTGACTCACTGCAACCTCTGCTTCCTGGGTTCAAGCAATCCTCCTGCCTCAGCCTCCTGAGTACCTGGAATTACAGGCATACGGCACCATATTTGGCTAATTTTTGTATTTTTAGAGATAGGGTTTCACCATGTTGGTCAGGCTGGTCTCAAACTCCTGATCTCGTGATCCACCTGCCTCAGCCTCCCAAAGTGTTGGGATTACGGACATGAGCCACCATGCCCAGGCTATTCTTTTCATTTTCTATAAATCATTTCAAAGCTTTTGCAAGAGTAAATTTCAAAGAGCAAGGTACACTACAATTTTTTTTGAGATAGAGTCTTACTCCGTCACCAGGCGCCAGGCTGGAGTACAGTGGTGCAACCTTGGCTCACCGCAACCTCCGCCTCCTGGGTTCAAGCAATTCTCCTGCCTCAGCCTCCCGAGTAGCGTGCGCCACCACGCCCAGCTAATTTTTGTATTTTTAGTAGAGACGGGGTTTCACCATGTTGGCCAGGATGGTCTTGATCTCTTGACCTCGTGATCCGCCCATCTCGGCCTCCCAAAGTGCTGGGATTACAGGCATAAGCCATCGCACCTGGTAGGTACACTATAATTTTTTATTATTACATACCCTGGTGATTAGCACAGTGCCTGAACAGAGAAGGCCTCTATACATATTTGTTATCTAGGCATGTCACATCAGCATGAAACACCACATAATATTTATGTGTCACAATCAAGAACTGGAAAGTTATAGCACTGGAATGGCTGCAAAAAGAGGCATGGAAGCCTCCTGTGTTAGGATGTATCTACAAAATCAGGAACTCTGGCATCAAGTTTATACCCCCTATAGCCCACAGTATGGTGCAGTTGCTATGTGCCAAATGAAAATCTAACAAAATCAAGTTGAATGATCAAGAATAAAATAGAAAAATATTAAAAATTTAAAAAAGAAAATCTAACAAGGGTTTTCTTCATGTGATTGGGAATGGGTAAGATGAAAATACTATGAACTGGGCACACTGCCTTTTTATGGTGCTAAGAGTACAAAGAGAGTTCATGACTCAGGAGCACACACATACTCACAAACACTTGCCCCTCTGTAATGCTGGGAACTTTTGATAAAAATTCTTCTGAAAAAAAAAAGACTTTAAACCTACTGCCCATCTTCTAATTTTCCCATAATAAATCATTACAAAATAACAACTGAGAGCATATCTAATATGTAAAGTCAACATAAACTTTAGATTGGGCATCTATTGGTGTTTTCACTGTTTATATGCACTCTACCTTAAACATTCTAACATAGGATTCATTGAATAGCTTTTTCATCATGAAAAGAAGCTCTACAGTAAATCATTACGACTCCTCATACCTGGTGTGTAAGTAAAACGTTGAGACTGGCTTTTTTTCCTCTTGCCATTGCAAAGATAAAAGTGCACCTGCACTGCAGCTGTAACTGCTGGGTTATGATATGGAGGAACTTCAAGGACAATGTGAGCCTAAGGATGGAAAGCAAGATTATGTTACACTCAGAACTAAAAATGAAATGCACCTGCTAAACACATCACAACTCATGAGTCTTAACTACAAAGCTCTCCCATAATAGATAATTATGCACATCAGCTAGTCGCATAAGTCATCTGGAGATTTACTATAGGAACGCTTCAGTCTTGAAAGACATAAGTCCTTTAATTAATAAAAGAGAAATTACTTTTTACTCACCCAATTGGGTTTCTGGCTGTAGCAGAAGTAAAAAATCTTACATACTATATAGAGAGATATTTTGCTCTACCAAATATTACATGTTACCATTTATCTTAAGAGTAAATTCATTCTGGTTTTTAATTAGGTTTAATAATGCCCAAGCTGCATTATAGTTTAGAGCTCTTATCTTATATTTTACATTCAAAATGTTCTAAACTAGAGCCAGGTGCCGTAGCTCACACCTGTAATCCCAGCACTTTGGGAGGCTGAGGTGGGTGGATCACGAGGTCAGGAGATCGAGGCCATCCTGGCCAACATGGTGAAACCCTGTCTCTATATTAAAAAAAAAAAAAAAAATTAGGCTGGGCGTGGTGGCTCACACCTATAATCCCAGCACTTTAGGAGGCTGAGGTGGGCGGATCACAAGGTCAAGAGATCGAGACCATCCTGACCAACATGGTGAAACTCTGACTCTACTAAAAATACAAAATTTAGCTGGGCATGGTGGTTCACGCCTGTAGTCCCTGTTATTTGGGAGGCTGAGGCAGGAGAACTGCTTGAACCCGGGAGGCAGAGGTTGCAGTGAGCCAAGATTGTGCCACTGCACTCCAGTCTGGCACCTGGCGATAGAACGAGACTGTTTAAAAAAAAAATTAATTAAACAAAACAACCAAAAATGTTTTAAACCGGTATTAAACAAAGTTTGTGTCTATCTCAAAAATAATTTTACAAAACCAAGGTGAAAATGTTAGCCCCAAACCAAATACAATTCTCAACCTAATTGCTCCAGATCTTTGGAAAGCATTGTGGAAAGTGGTATTTCCAATCCCAGAAAATACTCTGTCTCTATTCCAAACAAGTCCAAAGCTTTCAATGTAGAATCCTAGAAGTCTTAACTAAGTAGCTGAGGAGTAAAAAATAGTGTGTTAAGTACACAATTCTCTAAGGACTTGTCTTGCTACTATCTTTTGTCCGGTACATATGTTCTTTCTCTTTTTTATTTCTCTGTGAAGGCCTATACATATGTTCTTTATTGAATCTGTTTTTATTCCTGAGTTCAGAGAAATTAATGATAATTTTAATAAGAACCTTCTGATGATCTTCTTTCTAGTTTCTCCTTCCCTATACACAATAAGGAGAAAAAAGACACTAACTGGTTATCTTTTCTAAACTTTAATTTAATTTACTTTAATACTACGTAAGTATCTTACTTCCAAACCTTTAGAAATTTTATGTTTTTATACAAGGTCTCACTCTGTCACCCAGGCTGGAGTGTAGTGGTATGATCATGGCTCATTGCAACCTTGACCTCCCAGGCTTAGGTGATCCTCCCACCTCAGCTTTCCAAGTAGCTGGGACTACAGGCACACATCACTAAGCATGGCTAATTTTTTTGTAGAGATAGAGTTTTACCATATTTCTCAGGCTTGTCTTGAACTCCTGGGCTCAAATGATCCTCCCGCCTCAGTCTCTCAAAGTGCTCCCAAAGTGTTGGGATTATGGGCATGAGCCCCTGTGCCCAGGCTAATTTTACTTTTTTATTAATCAATATACAAAAGACTCATCCATACCATAAAGCAATATTATTCAATTTTCTATTCAGTGTCTTAAATATTTCTTAAAAATTAAGGTAAATTTCTTACCCCTTGACATTTTTCCCTGATTATTTTCCCTTCTACCTCCCACTGAGGTCGTCCATCTATTGAAAGAAAGAGTTTACAGTTAAAAGCAATTTATATCAGAAAGCATACAGACAAAATCTAACGCATGTAGTATCACAAATTTATTAGCAAAGGGGATCTTTTTTTCACTGACTTCCATTATGAAAATAAAATGTGAAATGTGTACAAACAAGGAAAAAATAAGGAGAAAGATCCTGGGCTGCCCAGGTTAGCAGATCCAACAGAGTTCATTCTAACCATCTACCCAAGTGATGTTTAAAAGCCCTCTGAGAGCACCCCCATCAAGTGGTGGCCAACTTTTGCTTGTGTATCTAAAATGATAGGAAACTCACTTCCTCACCACGTAACTCACTCCATCTTGGATAACTGCTGCTAGAAAGCTCCTCATGCTAAATCAAATGTCTCTTTACGTATCCAACAACTGGTCTAACTACTATTCCTTGCAGTCACAAAATAAAATCTTGATTGCTTGTCTGTGAGATCATATTTCAGATGTTGAAAAGCAGTTATGTCTGCTTGTGTCTCCTCTCCCACTGGCTAGCATCCCCAGTTCTGCACCTATCCCTTTCACAGTATTTTAGACTTCATGGTCTCTGTTTAAACATGCTCCCTCAAATTCACCAGGCCCAGGACTTAACAGCCTATGTGAGAAATGACTGAGGCTGTCACCACCATACATGAAATTGCTGTGTCTGTTAATGAAAGCTTTCTTGGGGTACAGGGGGGAGCTTTCTTGGGAGCACCATATGCTGACCCTCACACTAAGTATGTGACCAACTGTCTATACATTTCCTACTGCCAAGTTCCCACACTGTGCACTTACGCAGCTGAGTGTTTTTTATTCTGCCAACCTTTTGAAACATTACTTACTCCCAGCAGGGAGATTTCATTTTGTTGGATTACTTCACTTGTCAAAATATTTTTTAGATATTGATGGTCATAAAAAATGTTTCCTAAGCTTTCCAGATTTTTGTCACCTGAAGATTTGGCCAACACATTTTCTGTCTCTTTATCCCAAGTGAACTACTCACTTGGAGACAGTCTTGTCTGCTACTAAAACTCTCTGACCGATATACAATTATTCCAAAGCATTCTTTCTGTATCACAGGCATTCACCCAGTGACTAAGCCGCATCACTTCTTCATCTGGTCTGTGAAGTTATCAAGAGAGATTTCATCAAACACTTTCCAGGTTGTAACCATCATTTTCCAGTCCAGCAACTAGACAATGGCTACTTCTGGTGCACAAGAGATACTACAGATAAGTGCTACACCTACTTAGAATTATAGCTCAGTTTAGCAATCATGTGCTGGATCCTTATGTGCCAGACACTTTGTGTTAATCAGATAACTGAGACCAGGTACCCTGTTTTCAGCCTGTGGATGAAAGGCAAATGCAAACAGTTCATTATAATAAAATGTGGTAGGTACAATAATTAATAAAGGTGCACTCTGGATAAACCAAGAACAAAGGAGCAGGGTCTTTAACCTAATTTTGGGGAAGGTAGTGAGACAAGGAAGGCTTCCTGGAAGAGCTCTTGAACTGAGACTTAACATGAGATAGAACTCATAATGTGGGGAAAGGGTAATTATAGGCAGAAAAGACAGCATGAGCAAAGACAAGATGATAAGTACCCCTAAGATAAAGAGATGTATAAGCAGCTATGCTATTGTATAAAGTACGAGCCAGGGAACAATAAGAAAGAGGGTTGTAAAGACTGGCAGCAGATTATGGCCTGAATGCCATAATAAGGAGCCTAGAAAATGAAGTGGATCACTGAAGGTGTTTTTAAAATGGGAGTTATATGTTTACGACTGGAATCTCCTCTAAAGCCAGTAACTACCACCATTTAACATGATTCGATTTCAATCAAAAGCTCTTAAATGTGAAGCTCCGGGTCAAATAAACGAATTCAATAATACCTATTAATTATACTCAGGCACAGATGAATTTTTACAGTGGAAAGGAAGGGACAGTTCTGAGACACTATCTCTTCCTCATGCTCCTTATTCACCTGAAACATGACACCCACAGAAAGACATTCCTTGATGACTTGATATAAACAGTTCACAACTCAGTTTCTATTACTTCATAGCAGTTTTGTCTGGAATAATCTGGTTCATTTATTTGTTTATAGGTGCTTCTCTACCAGAATGTAAGCTCAATCAGAGCAGGCAACCTTGTATTCAACATTATATCCCTAATGCCTAGACTAGCGTCTTATCACATAGCACTGCTGCATAAATAATTGATGAATTATTAAATTATGAAACAGAACTGATGTTTTTTGAAGACAGACAGGGTATGGGTCAGGGTTGAAGGTATATGAATTTTAAAGGAGAAGAAGACAGACACCCATATAGTTTCTAGCTCAAAGAGAAGATGCTGATATTATTATTATTATTTTGAGATGGAGTTTCGCTCCTGTTTCCCAGGCTAGAGTACAGTGGTGCGATCTCGGCTCACTGCAACCTCTGCCTCCTGGGTTCAAGCAATCTCCTGCCTCAGCCTCCCGAGTAGCTGGGATTACAGGCACCTGCCACCACACCCAGCTAAGTTTTTGTATTTTTAGTAGAGACAGGGTTTTACCATGTTGGCCAGGCTGGTCTTGAACTCCTGACCTCAGATGATCCACCTGCCTAAACCTCCCAAAGTACTGGGATTAAAGGTGTGAGCCACTGCACCCAACCCTGATGTATTATTAATCAAGTTAAGAAATTCAGACAGATAAACTACTTTGTCAAGTCAGATTTGTTTTCATATTTTAAGTATCAGTGAGACATTTATAAACCAATATCCAGTGGGTACTTTAACATTCAGGTTAAAGTTTAAGAGAAACATGTTGCTGCAGAGAGGTATTTGGGAGCTAATGAAAATTCTCAAAAAGGAGGACGATAATGAGAAGAAAAATGAATATAAAACCTTAGAAAACATCTACATTTAAGAGCCAGAAAAACTCGCATAAAAAGACGAACAGTAATAAAGATGTGTGAGAACCAGGCAAGAAAAATTACACAAAGCGAAGGGGGAAAAGTGTTAAGAAGGAGAATAAGTAGCTAGCTGTAAAATTTTTAGGCGGTTATGACTTCAATGAAGTGAAAGACAAAAGATTAAAGAGAAACTAAAGCAAATTACACTACTTTTTTTTGAGAGGGTGGATGCTAAACGGTAGAGAAATGAAACAAAAGCTAAAGAAGATGACAGAGTTAAGAGAAAGGGAATGTTTAGGATGAGAAGACATAAACATAATTAAACTCCAAGAAGGAGAATCCAGTAGAAAAAGAGAAATTATAAAAGAGAGGTGATGGAGGCACTGAATACAGCCTTTAAGACTTAGGTTTTAAAAAGATAAAATAGTGAAAACAGATTAAAATTTTAATTAAGAAAAAACATAGTCAGGTGTGATGCCTCACGCCTGTAACCCCAACACTTTGGGAGGCCGAGGCAGGCAAACTGCCTGAGCTCAGGAGTTTGAGCCCAGCCTGGGCAACATGGTGAAACCCCATGTCTACTAAAATACAAAAAAATTAGCCTGGCATGGTGGTGTGTGCCTATAGTCCCAGCTACTTGGGAGGCTGAGGCAGGAGAATTGCAAGAACCCGGGAGGCAGAGGCTGCAGTGAACCAAGACTGCACCACTGCACTCCAACCTGCGTGACAGAGCAAGACTTCACCTCAAAAAGAAAAAGAAAAAACATAATAAACCAAAGAAAATGAAAAGTTAAATATAGAAATCAGTGAAACAGAAAGGCACACTGAAAGGTTTGATAAAGCCAAGAACTATGGAAAGACTGGTTAAAAATCCAGAAATGGTATAAATAAATAGCAGGAATAAAAAAAGTGGGGGGATATAACTCCAGATGCAAAAAGAGAATACTGTGAGCTCATTAATGCCCATAAATTTGAAAATGTAGGGGAAAGGAATAAAGTCCTAGAAAAATATATATGACCAAGCCAGGCGCAGTGGCTCATGCCTATAATCCAAGCTCTTTTGGATGCCGACATGGGTGGATCACTGGAGATCAGGAGTTTGAGACCAGCCTGGACAATATGGTGAAACCCTGTCTCTACTAAAAAAAAAAAAAAAAATTAGCTGGGCATGGTGGCAGGCACAGGTAATCCCAGCTACTTGGAAGACTGAGGCAGGGGAATGGTTTGAACTCAGGAGGCAGAGGTTGCAGTGAGCTAAGATTGCACCATTGCACTCCAGCCTGGGCAACAAAAGCAAAACTCTGTCTCAAAAAAAAAAAAAAAAAAAAGACAAATATATATGATCAAACTCAAGAAGAAACATATTGACTAGTCCTACAACCACAAATAGAAATATATCACAAGTAAGTTAATGGCTCCCCACAAAAACAGTCCCCATTCCAGAAGGTTCTGGAGGTAAGCTCTGTCACATGCACAAGGGAACATGAAAGTACCCAACACAGACACTGTTAAAGAATGAAAAAAGATGAGGCAGTTTCCCCAAATCACTCTGATATCCAGAATATATAAAGAATTCCAAGTCACTAAAAAAATTAAAAATGATCCAATGGAGAAAATAGGCAAAGACACAAATAGTTACTGCACAGCAAATGAAATATGAATGGTCCATAACAACCTCAATAGCTAACAGGGAAATTCAAATCTAAAGTTCAAGATACCATTTCACTCCTACTGGATTAACAAAATTTAAGAATTTTAATATTCTTGCCTATGCCTACCAGATATAGCAATGCCAAAAACTGGACAACATCCAAATATCCAGTAAGAGAAAGGATAATAAATTGTAGTACATTCATACAATGAAAAATTTTATAGTAGTGAAAGTAAAAGGTCTTCAGTTACATAGAGCAGTCTTAAAACACTAAGACCTCTGAAAAGATAATTTTTCAAGGAATACAGGCAATATCATACAAAGTCCAAAAACAGGGACAAAAAAGATATTGAATATTTAGGTTGTTTCCATTTTTTGGCAATTATAAATCGTTTTATATGATTAAAAAGCAAAGGTTAATTCGAGTGAGGGTTCCATTTGGGAAGGGGGACCCAGAGGCCTTCAAAGGTAAATGTATTTCTTAAACTTGGTAGTAGGTGTAAGTATTTGTTATATTATATTATTCTCATAAAAACAGTGTTTTGGTGGGTGCTGGTGGCTCACATCTGTAATCCCAGAACTTTGGGAGGCCGAGGTGGGGAGATCACAAGATCAGGAATTCCAGACCAGCCTGGTCAACGTGATGAAATCCTGACTCTACTAAAAACACAAAAATTAGTGGGGCGTGGTGATGGGAGCCTGAGGCACAGAATTACTTGAACCCGGAGGCAGAGGTTGCAGTGAGCTGAGATCTAGCCACTGCACTCAGCCTGGCGACAGAGCGAGAGACTGTCTCAAAAAAAAAAAAAAAGTTTTTTATGGCCAGCATGTAGATCCTAGCACTTTGGGAGGCTGAGGTGGGCAGATCCCTTGAGGTCAGGAGTTCAACACCAGCCTAGCCAACATGGCAAAACCCCATCTCTACCAAAAATACAAAAATTAGCCAGGTGTGGTAGCTTGTGCCTGTAATACCAACTACTTGGGAGGCTGAGGCAGGAGAATCGCTTTAACCTGGGAGGCAGATGTTGCAGTGAGCCAAGATTGTGCCACTGCACTCCAGCCAAGGCAACAGAACAAGACTCTCCAAAAAATATATATATATTTCCTAAGTTTTAAATGTTTTTAAAACTGAGAGGAAATAATTGATGGAAAAGTGTTTTAAATATGCACAAGGGATGAAATCAAACACCCTCATAAACATTGAATTCTTCTACTTTAAAAATAATTTTGGTATAATTCACATACTATAAAATCCATCCTTTTAAAGTATAAAACTCAGAGGTTTTGGGGATATTCACAGAGTAGTACAACCATCACCACAATCTAATTCCAGAACATTTCCATCATTCCAAAAGGAAACCCAGCTCCCATCAACAGTCACTCACCATTGACACCTTCCTCCAACCAACCACTAATCTACATTTTGTCTCTGGATTGCTTATACTGGACATTTTATGTAAATGGAATCATACGCTATGTGTTCTTTTGTGCTGGCTTCTTTCACTTGGCCTATTTTCAGCGTTTATCCATGTGTAGCATGTAGGAGTACTTCATTTTTTTTTTTTTTTTTTTTTGTGGAGACGGAGTTTCACTCTTGTTGCCCAGGCTGGAATACAATGACACCATCTCGGCTCACCGCAACCTCTGCTTCCTAGGTTCAAGTGATTCTCCCATTTCAGCCTCCTGAGTAGCTGGGATTACAAGCATCCGCCACCAGGCCAGGCTAATTTTGTATTTTTTACTAGAGACGGGGTTTCTCCATGTTGGTCAGGCTGGTCTCGAACTCCAGACCTCAGGTGATCCACCCGCCTCAGCCTCACAAAGTGCTGGGATTACAGGCGTTGAGCCACTGCACCCGGCCTTCATTAATTTTTATGACCAAATAATATTCCAGTGTATGGATATATCACATTTTGTTTATCCATTCATCATTTGGTGAGCATTTTTAGGTTGTTTCCATTTTTTGGCAATTGTAAATAAAGTTGCTGTAAATATCTATCTCTTAAGTTTATGCGTGGACATGTATTTCCAACTCTTTCAAGTATATACCTAGGAGTAGAGTTGCTGGGGGATCTCTACTTTTAGACATCTTAAATTATTATCATATTATTATTATTATTTAGAAACAAGATCTCACTCTATTCCCCAGGCTGAGGAGTGAAGTGGCACAAACAGAGCTCACTGTAACCCAGAATTTCTGGGCTCAAGTGATCCTCCTGCCTTAGCCTCCTGAGTAGCTGGAACTACAGGCATGTGCCACCATGCCCAGTTCCTTAAAGATAATTTAACATTTATATGAAAATTTAATAAGTGTTTGGTTTAAAATAAAATCTGGTGCAAAATGATACCTGTAGCTTTATTAAAACTACTTTGTAATTTTTGTTACTGAAAAATCTAAATAATTTATTCTACCCTTTGCCCCTTAGTTTGAAGTCAATCAACTCATATGTTATTTACCTTGTCCTTTTTCCAGAAAAATGATTTTGGATTCTGGAAGAAAATTAGATCCAGTCACAATCATTTCATGACCTCCATTTACAGAACAACTGTTGATACTGTACTTTTCAATATGAGGAAGTTCTTGAGCAGATCGCTGGGCTGTTTTGAATTTTTTTTAAGAGTTGAGAAAAAAAAAAGTTAAAAATCTTTCATACATAAATAAACTCAAGCTATAAAAAGAAAAGAGAAGCAAATTTTGGGATTAATTCATTTAGGCTTTTAAAATTCAAGACAACGGTAACAAAACTCACTAAAAGAACTAAGTTGTTTATAAAACAAAATAGATATTAGATTTATGTGATTTCTAAGTATATTTATTTATTTGAGACAGGGTCTCACACTGTTGCCCAAACTGGAGCACAGTGGCACGATCATCGCTCCCTGCAGCCTCCAATTCCTGGCTGAAGTGATGCTCCCACCTCAGCCTCCCAAGTAGCTGGGACTACAGGTGCATGCCACCATGCCCAGCTAATTTTTTTTTTAAAATAGCAACATAGTCTCACTTCATTGCCAAGCCTGGTCTCAAACTCCTAGCCTCAACCAATCCTCCTGCCTTGACCTCCCAAAATGCTGGGATTAGAGGCATGAGCCACCACACGCAGCCAATCATTTTCTTAGATTACAACTATAAAGAAACTAATGAAAATTAGTATCTTCAACTTCATGCTGACTACAACACATTTACCTCATCTGTTTTTCTCTTTTGCTTAAATGCTTAATATATTTCTTCCATGCAACTATCTGTTAAAATCTGTAAATCTAATATAATTACAAAAAGCATGTAACTCCAAAGATATATAATTATATTGTGTGCAAAGGAGAGAAGACAAGTTCTAAAAGTGCTACTCCTTAGACAAACACCAAGTGAGCCTTTCTTTTTAAATTCATTTGTATAATTTATTTACTTATTTTTGAGATGGAGTCTCGCTCTGTCAACCAGGCTGGAGTGCAATGGTATCATCTTGGCTCAGTGCAACCTCCACCTCCTGGATTCAAGCGATTTCCCTGCCTCAGCCTCCTGAGTAGCTGGGATTACAGGCACCTGCCACCACGCCTGGCTAATGTTTTGTATTTTTAGTAGAGACAGGGTTTCACTATGTTGACCAGGCTGGTCTCGAACTCCTGACCTCGTGATCCGCCTGCCTCCCAAAGTGCTGGGATTACAGGTGTGAGCCACCATGCTTGGCTTGTATTTTTATTTTTTAGAGACAGAGTCTTGCTCTGTTGCCCAGGTTATTGCCCAGTGGCATGAGCATAACTCACTGCAGCATCAAACTCCTGGGTTCAACAATCCTCCCACCTCAGCCTCCCAAGTAGCTGGGACAACAGGCCATGTGCCACTACGCCCAGCCAATTTTTAAAATTTTATTTTTGTAGAGACAGTGTCTCTCACTTTGTTGCCCAGGCTGTTCTCGAACTCCTGGGTTCAACTGATCTTCCCGCCTTGGCCTCCTAAAGTGCTGGGATTACAGATGTGAGCCACTGTGACCTGGTATTTACATTATCAACTTTTATAATCAGTGTTTATGGTGCCACCTTTCTCTGATACTGACTGGTTCCAAGTTGCTACATTTTCTGGAAATCCTATTTCTGGCTTTTCTTTCTTTTAATTGCTTGAGTTTCAAACTATAAATTATATTTCTTTTTATGATGTAGGTTCTCTAATGGCTGTTTTTGTTTGTTTTCAGAAAGGGTCATGCACTGTCACCCAGGCTGGAGTACACTGGCGTGATCACAGCTCTGTAGTCTCAATCTTCTGAGCTCAAGTCATTCTCAGATCTCACCCTCCCCAAGAGCTGGGACTATAGAAATGCATCACCATAACCAACTTAAGAATTGTTTTTTTTTTTTTTTTTTTTTTGTAGAGACAGGGTCTTATTATGTTGCCCCTTATTATGTAGGCTGGTCTCGAACTCCTGGTCTAAAGCAGTCCTCCTGGACATAAGCAATACTCCTGGCTAAACCTCCCAAAGAGCTGAGATTACAGGTGTGAGTCATGCCTGGCCTCTAATAAATTTTTCTTGCCAAATACCTAGATACCTAGGTTTCTCTGAATTAAAACAAATTTTAAAAGTGTTGGTCGTTATCTCTTCAACACTTTTATTTGGAAAACAGGTCCACTTTTATTCCAAGTGTGTAGGTGAGAAACCTGGTGGGCTTGAGAATCAGCTGTGTTTTGTTTGGCTAGCAGAGCATTTTAAAGAAATGTAAAATTCATTGCTGTTAGGAAAGCATGCATTCCCAGTTCACAACAGCTATCAATTATTTAATACATAATCACAAAAGTTCACAAATTGGGACCCTGGCCTCATTCAAAGAGAGTATTATCATCAATCCTTTCATAGAAGATGCATATGTGGGCTGGACGTGGTGGCTCATACCTGTAATCCCAGCACTTTGTGGAGGCAGAGGCGGGCGGATCATGAGGTCAGTTCTAGACCAGCCTGATCAACATGGTGAAACCGCATCTCTACTAAAAATATAAAAATTATCTGGGCGTGGTGGCGTATGCCTGTAATCCCAGCTACTCAGGAGGCTGAGGCAGGAGAATAGTTTGAACCTGGGAGGAGGAAGATGCAGTGAGCTGAGATCGCACGACTGCACTCTAGTCAGGGTGAGACTCTGTCTCAAAATAAAAAAACACACAAAAGACGATGCACATACAGCCAGACGCAGTGGCTCACACGTGTAATCTGAGCACTTTGGGAGGCAGAGGCAGGTGGATCACCTAAGATCAGGAGTTCAAGACCAGCCTAACCAACATGGTAAAACCCCATCTTTACTAAAAATACAAAAATTAGTTGGATGTGGTGGTGCATGTCTGTAATCCCAGCTAGTTGGGAGGCTGAGACAGGAGAATCGCTTGAACCCAGGAGGCGGAGGTTGCAGTAAACCGAGATCACACCAACAAACTCCAGCCTAGTCAATAGAATGAGACTGTCTCCAAAAAAAAAAAAAAAGATAGGTATGTGATTTACGATCAACTATTACTTGGGATGTACCAAGCACCAACCTAAATCTCAGAAAATACACACGTCTCTACTGTTCTAAATGGGTCACAAAGAAGGGGCCTGAAAACAAACACTGATTACAGGTACTTTCTAAGTAACAGCAAAAGTATGTTCAGGCTGGGCGCAGTGGCTCACACCTGTAATCTCAATACTTTGGGAGGCCAAGGCTGGTGATCACCTGAGGTCAGGAGTTCAAGACCAGCCTGGCCAACATGGTGAAACCCCATCTCTACTGAAAAATACAAAAATTAGCTGGGTGTGGTGGGTGCCTGTAATCCCAGCTACTCAACAGGCTGAGGCAGGGAGACTTGTTCAAACCCAGGAGGCAGAGGTTTCAGTAGGCCAAGATCGTGCCACTGCACTCCAGCCTGGTGTCAGAGTGAGACTCCATCTCAAAAAAAAAAAAAAACAGCGTGTTTAACAGATGGCATAAACATGCCAAAAAAGTACTCCTATGGTAAAAATAATATTTTTGAAGAATATTTTCTAACAGAAGAAAATGCCTGTGATAGCATAAGTGAAAACTGCAAAACAAGATATAAAACTATATCAAATAAGCCCAATTTAAAAACGCTGTGTATGTGGATGTTTACAAAAAAACATACAAGGCTCACACCTGTAATCCTACCACTTCAGGAGTCTGAGGTGGGAAGATTACTCGAGGTCAGGAGTCCAAGACCAGCGTGACCAACATGATGAAACCTCATCTCTACCAAAAATACAAAAATCAGCTGGGCATTGTGGTGGGCACCTGTAATTCCAGCTACCTGGGAGGCTGAGGCACAAGAATTGCTTAAACCTGGGAGGCAGAGGTTCCAGTAAGCTGAGAATGTGCCACTGCACTCCAGCCTGGATCACACAGTGAGACTCCGTCCCTCCCCCACACAAAAAAAAGCAAGAAAAGGTGAATAGTAACTACCTACGAATAGTAATATTACAAAATAATTTAATATTATACTACTCTTAGTACCATTTTGCATTTTCTACATCCTCAATAATCACACATTAATTAATTTGTTTATTAATTTTTGAGACAAAGTCTCACTCTGATGCCCAGGCAGGAGTGCAATGGATCACCTGAGGTCAGGTGGATCAGGTGATCCTTATTCAGGTGATCTACCTGTGTAGGCCTCCCAAAGGGCTGGGATTACAGGCTTGAGCCACGACACCTGGCCAATTTTATTTTCTAAAAAAGAAAAAAATTAAGAATCATTTTAGCATAACCATCTCAAAAACTCAAACTACTCTATGACCTTATTTACATTACTTTGCCAGTTGGGCATGGTGGCTCATGCCTGTAATCCCAGAATTTTGGGAGGCCAAGGTGGGCAGATCACTTGAGTCCAGGAATTCAAGATCAACCTGGGCAACATGGGGGAAAATGCAAAAATTAGCCAGTTGCGGTTGCTTGTGCCTGTAGTCCCAGCTACTTGGAAGGCTGAGGTGGGAGGATTGCTTAAGCCTGGGAGGTGGACGTTGCAGTGAACTGAAATCATGCCACTGCACTCCAGCCTGGGAGACAGAGTGAGACCCTATCTCAAATGAATGAATAACTTTGCTTTAAAAATAGAGTTATCAGTTGGGCACGCTGGCTCACCCCTGTAATACCAACACTTTGGGAGGCCGAGGAGGGCAGATCACCTGAGGTTGGGAGTTAGAGACCAGGTTGACTAACATGGAGAAACCCCATCTCTACTAAAGATACAAAAAGCTAGCCAGGCATGGTGGCACATGCCTGTAATCCCAGCTACTCAGGAGGCTGAGGCAGGAGAATCGCTTGAACCTGGAAGGTAGAGGTTGTGGTGAGCCAACATCATGCCATTGCACTCCAACCTGGGCAACCAGCAAAACTCTGTCTAAAAAGAAAAAAAATAGAGTTATCTATGCTTATATGAGCATAGAACCCTCTGGCAGGATAATTAAGAAGCTGGCAATGATAGCCGTTTCTAAGGAAAAGAACTGATTGACTTGGAAATTTACCTTCTACTCTATATTCTTTTTGAATTTTGTAGCATATATCTATTTTGCCCATCAAAAAATTAATACAGGGTGAATGTGGTAGCTCATGCCTATAATCTCAGCCCTTTGGGAGGCCGAGATGGGAGGATCATTTATGTCCAGGAGTTTGAGACCAGCTTGAGAAACACGGTGAGACCCTATCTCTACAAAGAATAGTTTTTTTAATTTTAAAAATTAATACAAAAGCTTGTTCTACAGTTAACTCACCACAGATTTACTCAGTGACTCCCAGTCAACTGTCAAATGATAAAGTATCACTCCAATTCAGCAAACAGCAAAAGAAAGCATGAAAGGTTTCATAAGCAGATGTGGCCCCAAATTAAGAATACAGGGCCAAGTGCGGTGGCTCAGGCCTGTAATCTCAGCACTTTGGAAGGCCAAGATAGGCAGATCACGAGGTCAGGAGTTCGAGACCAGCCTGGCCAACACGGTGAAACCCCTTCTCTACTAAAAATACAAAAATTAGCTGGGTATGGTAGTATGCATCTATAATCCCAGCTAATCAGAAGGATGAGGCAGGAGAATCGTTTGACCCCAGGAGGTGGAGGTTGCTGTGAGCCGAGATAGTGCCATTGCACTCCAGCCTGGGTGACAGAGTGAGGCTCCATCTCAACAACAACAACAACAACAACAACAACAACAACAACAAAACAATATAAGCTGGGTGCGATGGCTCACACTTGTAATCCCAATCCCAGAATTTTGGGAGGCTGAGGTGGGCAGATCACTTCAAGTCAGAAGTTTGAGACCAGGGTGGCCAACACGGTGAAACCCAGTCTCTACTAAAAATACAAAAATTAGCCAGGTGTGGTGGCATACCCCTGTAGTCCCAGCTACTTGGGAGGCTGAGGCAGAGAATCGCCTGAACCGCGGAGGTGGTGGTTGCAGTGAGCCAAGATTGCATCATCTCACTCCAGCCTAGGCAACAGAGTTGAGACTCCATCTCGAAAAAAAACCCAACCCAGTCACCCCCAAAAAAGAATACATATGGTTAACAAAAATAAAATAATGTAATATAATCTAAAGAATACTAAGGAAACCTTTGTTCTAGGCAGCACAGCTCTATCACCAAAAAGCAAATAACCTTGAATGAGCACTAGAGATACTCATGCCTCAGTTTCCTCCTATGCAAATAAAACATGGAATCAGAATATTCTAAATTATATCCTAAAGATCTAAGTACTAGTCTCAATATTTCAAGTCATACTAGCTAACCCGCCCAGGATCCACAGTTCCCCAAAACTGAGTAGACGTCAGGTTCCAGGATCTCTTGTATCTTGCCTTTGTATATGTTAGGAAAAAACATTCACTGTCTCAATCAGATGTTTTGAATAATCTTAACAAAAGCTCTGTTAAATCTTATTTAGCTAAACTGTCAGCTTGCAGAGATAAGCACCATCTAGCATGAAGATTGACATTTTAATGAAACAAAGACTACCAAGTGATACTTAAATCATAGCTTCATGATTTGGTCCTCAGATGGCATCAACTCCCCATTCTCATTTACATATAAGAAAACTCTGGTCAGGATAGTGTGTCTATAGTTCACAGAGCTACCTACTAAAACTATCATGAGAAACCATTTTCTAATTCCAGGATCGGTACTCTTCTACCCAAACGTGTTAGCTCATTTCCATATCAGAAAATCAAACCAGCCACCCAGACCATATACCCCAGTTTGCACTTCAGATGCATATATTACATTATAAGCAAAAACAGAAAATAAATTATAAACAAGATCTTAAAACATCATCAAAATCTCACTTACAGCACTCAACAGGTATAGAAGCTATCTGCAGAGAAAGAACTTTTCCACTGGGCTGTGGGATGTGTACACGAAACACAAGTCGTACTCTAGTATTCTTTCTGCCAATATCAGTTTCTCCTTTTCGAAGTTCTATATCTGAATTGCGGAGTTTCAAAATACCTGCACAGTCAATACTAAAGAGAAAAATATAAAAATTTGTTTATTGATAATCATGGTTCTAAACAACTCAACTACATAGAAATTGTTCATTTCTCAGAAAAAGACTACCCAAAATAAGGTCAAAAAAGAAAGATATGATGGCTATTCTTTGCTAAACTGAAGTTTAGGTATTAAAAATATTTTTATATGATAAATGTGCAAAATTAAGTACAGTAGATTGTCTGCAAAGTTAACAATTCCTCTTCATTCCTGTACTCGCATGCCTCTCCTCCTGCCATTAAGAGGTAAAGTATCTATGCCTACTCTCTGCTCTCCTTGAGAGCTAGCCTATGACTTGCTTTGACAAATGAAGTGTGGCCAAATGACAGTATGCAAGTTATGAGCCTAGTACTGAAGAAGGCAGGTAACTTCCACTTTTGCTGTCTTGGAGTCCTGAGTAAGGAGTCCAACTAGCATGGTGGAGAGAAAGGCCGAGACAATCCCTAACCACTCCAGCCACCCTAGACATTTTGGATGTTCAACCCCAGCTGAGCTCCCACTAAATCCAGGTACTTGAGTGACCCCCAGCTGGCACCATGTGACTAGACCAGCTGAGCTCAGTCAACCCAAAGAATCATGCAAAATAATAAAGAGTTATTACTATAAGCCATTAAATTTTCGGAGTGTCAGAACTAGACAACTGAATTAAAAAAAGACTAATTCTATACATGTAACTAGGTCAGAACAACAAATAACTCATCAATAGCTTATTTAAACTTTTATAGTGATGTATTTATTAATAAAAACAATTCATCAGGCTAAAATTCTTGAATTTCTAAGGAATGCAGATAGAAGGTTAAGGTTCTGCATTTAAGGTATAATGTTTCATCATCTGCTAACTTTATTACTAAGTATGACACACTACTATGGCAGGAAACAACAGAAGTTACAAAATATCTTTGTTACATATTGGAAGAATAAAGCAAACGGATAACTTCCTCATAGATACTCTACCTCATAAAGCAAATGGATAACTAATTATGATCAAATACACTAGTTAACCTTGTTAACAAGGCATTCCTTGTTATAGGTCCTTTTACTGGATCTACCAACTGTTCCAACCCTCATACTTATTGCACAGAGGCTGCAGAAGTCACTTTGAAGGACAATATATTACAGAACTAGAATATCAAGACAGGAACTGGCAGGGCAAGGTGGCTCACGCCTGTAATCCCAGCACTTTGGGAGGCCGAGACAGGCAGATCACCTGAGGTTAGGAGTTCAAGATAAGCCTGGGCAACATAGTAAAACCCCATCTATACTAAAATAGAAAAATTAGCTGGGCATAGTGGCAGGTGCCTGTAGTCCCAGCTACTCAGGGGGCTAAGGCAGGAATTGCTTGTGCCCAGGAAGCAGAGGCTGCAGTGAGCCGAGATTGTGCCACTGTACTCCAGCCTGGGCTACAGAGTGAGACTGCCTCCACAAAAAAAAAAAAAAAAAAAAAAAAGACAAGAACCAGTAAAGTAGAAGAAAGAATCCCAAAAGGAATTAAGCCACTCAAAATTTTTCATCTTCAGAAAGACACAGGAAAAGAAATTTTTAAAAAATGGAATGATTTTGAAAATTAAAAAAGCATTTGCCATTTAGAGATAACAAATGATATAACTGATATTGAACAGCTGCACTTTAGCTCAAAGCAGTATTGATCAAGCTGTATCAAATTAGTGATTATCATGCTAACATGTCAACATGCATCTTCAGGGGAAACGGCAGAGATGATCTGTGTTATTAATAATGGGCAAAGGCATTCTAGCAGCAAACTAAGTTTCTAACAGAAGTGAAATAACAGCACTAGAAAGTATATCTGAAAACTCTTTTTTTTTTCTGAGACAGAGTCTTGCTCTGTCACCAGGCTGGAGTGCAGTGGCGCAATCTCGGCTCACTGCAACCTCCGCTTCCTGGGTTCAAGCAGTTCTTCTGCCTCAGCCTCCTGAGTAGCTGAGACCACAGGCACGTGCCACCACGCCTGGCTAATTTTTGTATTTTTTTTTTTTTTAGTAGAGACAGGGTTTTACCATGTTGGCCAGGATGGTCTCGATCTCTTGACCTCGTGGTCTGCCCACCGTGGCCTCCCAAAGTGCTGGGATTACAGGCGTGAGCCACCATGCCCGGCTTTTTTTTCTAAGACACAGTCTTGCTCTGAGACAGAGTCCCACAGGCTTGGGTACAGTGGTGTGATTTCAGCTCACTGCAACCTCTGCCTCCCAGGTTCAAGCAATTCTCCTGCCTCAGCCTCCTGAGTAGCTAGGATTACAGGTGTGCACCACCACATCTGGCTAATTTTTGTATTTTTAGTAGAGACGGGGTTTCACCATGTTGGCTCGGCTTGTCTCGAACTCCTGACCTCATGATCTGCCCACCTTGGCCTCCCAAAGTGCTGGGATTACAGGCGTGAGCCACCGTGCCCGGACTGAAAACTCTTAAATGCAAACAAAACAAAAAAGAAAAAAACTCTTATGTAGCAATGAAAATAAGTATTAAATTACCTTTAAAACTACATTTTAAATCAAGATGTAGCACTGCTACATCCATATTAATCCAGTGTTAAAAAACAGGAGCAAATAGCTAAGGTAATAAGTACTGGCATCCTATATTTAAAGCATCTTGTAGGGTAGCTCTGTGGCTTATGGATTAGTATAATTGTCTCAAAAAAAAAAAAAAAAAAAAAGGAGAGTCTTACATATCCAAAAGAGATTAGGCTTGACATAACCAAGCCTGTGGTTTAGCAGGCAAAACCAGGAGAATATCAACCAATCTTTCCACACCTTATTGCCTTAAGAGAACAATAAAAACACTTAATACATACTTAAGGCTCACTTATGCATAAATTATTTTGAACCATGGTCTTATCTATCATCTGGAAATTTTATACCTACCATTATCTGAAACTATATTATATTCAACCATTGTACCGAATAATACAGTTGCATTCAACAAGCTACTAGGATACTAGTTAATTCTAGCAATTAGCTGCTGAGTAAATAGGCTTGTTCATCATTAGCTATCTGGTTATCTAAAGTACGTGAAAAAGGTTTCTTAGGTTTAATAACATCCTAGTTGCCCCTTACCTAATCCTTTCTCCAATATATATAACCCTTGGGTCCTACAGAACTCCTGTTCCACCATCTACCAGTACAAAGCAGACAGAATGGCCAAGAAGTTTCAGGTATATGTGTGGCAGCATTGCAGGGGGTGGACTAGCTGTATGTTACTAATCATAGTGGTATTTCTGCAGCTTTGCCCTTTCTGGTCTAATCCACACAGACAGTATATGCCAGATCAGGTTGCGGAGGGGACATAAATTATTACTATTACCTTTGTTCCATGTGCTAGTAAATGGGAGATGATGGAGGAGACAGGTAAATTCAGATCCTACCACTCCAATTCTTTCATATTATTTGGGATGTGAGCCTTTCCCAATTTCTCAAGAATTTTTCATAGAAATTAATGTACTCTTTTCTCTTTATTTACTGGTTTATATATTATTTTCAGAAACAATGAGGCATTTTACAATTAAATATAAATAAAGCCAAGAAAAAAGAAATAAATTTTAAAACACCATCGGAAGTAAACTCCAAGTCTAGGGTTATACAAATTACTATAATTACTGTAAATGAGCTTGACTATGAAGTTCTTGGAAGCCAAGACAAAAAGTAAATGTGATAAAGTTGTTATAGGCCGCTTGTTGTCTGCTAAAGCAAAATCTACCATGCCATCAGGAAACATCAACTTTTTTCCTTTTAGTTGAAAGGACTGTGGTTGTGTGTACATATACACATGCATGCAATAATGATCAACATAAGAGAAAGTGTCTTTAATAGCAGTTTTTCAGATTGTGAAGTATGGTTATGGTTATTTCTCATACTGTCCCTCAAGCCAAGTTAAGAAACAGAATAAACTTGTTATTTTTCTATTTAACTTGACTTAAATATCGTGCTTTGAAGATCCAGAGGAATGATTGCAAACATGAACTGCAAACTATTATCTAGGGGTCAATTTCCTGAGTTTTTAGAAAAAGATGGTTCAAAGATGATTTTAAAATTTCCCTCTACAGCTAGCTAGTCCCATATCACATGCTTCTGATGCTATATAAAAAAGTAAGATACCAGAACAAAAGGAAAGAAGCCTACTTACATTCTCATTCAGAGGTTGGCCATCTTACCTTATTTGAAAATGTGTCCAACAGGATGCCTGGTGTCAATATTTTTCTCAAAAAAAGAGTTTTGCTTGAGTATCAAGTACAGGCTGAGATTCCAAAGTTCTTTCTTCATTATAGAACACAAATTTTTAAGTCCAGGTGCAGAGGCTCATGTCTGTAATCCCAGCAGTTTAGGAGGCCAAGGCAGGTGGCGTGCTTGAGGCCGGGAGCTTGGTACATGGCAAAACTCTGCCTCTACTAAAAATATAAAAAGTAGCCAGGAGTGGTGGTGCACATTGTGTAATCTCAGCTACTTGGGTGTCTGAGGGACGAGAATCACTTGAGCCTGGGAGGCAGAGGTTGTAGTGAACTGAGATCGTGCCACTGCACTCCAGCCTGGGCAACAGAGTGAGACTGTCTCAAAAAAAAAAAAAAAATTTAGAAGTAGAGATTATCAGCTAGCTGTCTGCCTTTGCCATGAAAAAACTCTGTCGTAGCCCCTATGCAATGATTTCCTGGATTGGATTCTTGAGTACCGGCCATTTGAATCAAAGCAGGCAAAAATAAGATTTTATTTAAATTTGTATTAACTTTTCTTTTCTGGTAGTAAGTAACAGAATAAGGTTTTGTTTTGTTTTGTTGTTGTTGTTGTTGTTTTGAGACTAAGTCTCACTCTGTTGCCCAGCCTGGAGTGCAGTGGCGCAATCTCGGGTCACCGCATGCTCTGCCTCCTGAATTCAAGTGATTCTCAAGCCTCAGCCTCTGGAGTAGCTGGGACTATATCTGGACCACTATTCCCAGCTAATTTTTCTCTTGTTTAGTAGAGTCAGGATTTCACAATGTTGGCCAGGCTGGTCTCGAACTCCTGACTTCAAGTGATCCCTCCAGAATAAGTTATTTATTGAGGCAATTCTTATTTTATCTAATAGAGGCATATCACCTTCTATGTCTTCAGGGGGTATATTTGGCTTATCTAAAAAGTTTATTTAAATATCAATTTAAATGAAGAGAGTTCAAGACTGAAATCTGTTTTTTTTTTCTGAGTTGGAGTTTCACTCTTGTTGCTTAGGCTGGAGTGCAATGGCACGATCTAGGCTCACTGCAGCCACTGCCTCCTGGGTTCAAGCAATTCTCCTGCCTCAGCCTCCAGAGAAGCTGGGATTACCAGGTGCCCGCCACCATGCCTCACTAATTTTTTGTATTTTTAGCAGAGATGGAGTTTCACCATCTTGGCCAGGCCGGTCTCAAACTCCTGCCCTCAAGTAGTCCGCCCCCTTTGGCCTCCCAAAGTGCTGGGGTTACAGGTGTGAGCCACTATGCCCAGCTGAAATCTGATTTTTTTATAGAACTGTTCTTGCAACAGCCTTGGATGAATGTTATTCCTGCCTTAAGAAAGGTCTGTAGTGTAGTTTGAAACAACTGCTATAATAAAACTCAATCTAAGTTTCCCATGCCTAGTTGTGCCTACCACTTATTAATAGGTACCTATTCGATATCCCTTCTTTTCTTCTTCCTTAGTAATACGCCCCTACATTGTTTGTGTTTTTGTTTGTTGTTTTTAAAGACAGGATCTCACTCTATTGCCCATGTTGGAGTGCAGTGGCACTCTCAACTAACTGCAACCTCCGCCTCCCAGGCTTAAGTGATCCTCCCATCTTGGTCTCCCAAGTATCTAGAACTACCAACAGGCACCACCACACCAGGCTAATTTTTGCATTTTTTGTAAAGACAGGGTCTTGTCATTTGGCCAGGCTGGTTCTCGAACTCCTGAGCTCACAGGTGATCTGCCTGCCTTGGCCTCCCAAAGTGCTGGGATTACAGGCATGAGCCACCATGCTCAGCCTCCCTACATTGTTTGAAGTGACAACGTGTTCTTGTAAACATAACCATGTGCTTCTTAATATGAGCATGATCAATGAGATGTAGAGTTGTTAAGTAGATTTTAGGGAAAGGCTCTTAAAAGAGGATTCGACACTAATAGAATTTCCCTTTTTTTTGAGACAGAGTTTTTGTTCTGTGGCCAGGTGCCAGGCTGGAGTGGGGTGGCATGATCTCAACTCACTGCAACCTCCGCCTCCCAGGTTCGAGCAATTCTCCTGCCTCAGCCTCCTGAGTAGCTGGGACTACAGGCACGCACCACCATTCCCAGCTAATTTCCTGTATTTTTAGTAGAGATGGGGTTTCACCATATATCTGGAAATATGAATGTCATAGCTAGAGCTCCAGCAGCCACTTTAGGTCATAAGGTAATCTTTAGGATGGAAACCACATGCTAAAGATGGCAGAGAAGAAAAAACTTGCTTGGGGTCTTAATAACTTATGCGCTACTGTGCTAGCCCTACAACATCTGTATATTTATTTTATGTGATAAAACACTAAACCTCTAACTGCATATCAGGTTTCTATTACAGACAATTACATAATCCTAACTAATCCTTCTGTATCAAACTCTACTGCATTCTCATTCAGAAGTTTGCCACCTCATCTTATTTGGAAATGGGATGCGTGGAGGTAAAGTCAAAAGTTTTCCTTAAGGAAATGAAACAATCATAACTGTATCATAATTGTTTATTTATTGTCTACTCTATTAGACTGTGAGCCATTTGATGAAAGTCCAGATACAGTATTTACATCCCTATCACCTAGGATAATGGCTTGGCTGGTAGTATATGGTATAATAACATTTACCAAATTGAATTTTCCTTCTGGAAATATGCTACCACTCTTAGCAAATGTACTAAATGCACACATAACTTACATAATGTCATTTAGAACAATATTTTAAATTTATATTCAAAAACAGATTTACTTTTTTTCTGAACATAGTTATAGAGAAAAAAAAAACTGCCCATTTTAGGTATATTTCGAAATACCTGGCTGACATATTATTTTCAGGAAGAAGCGGAATTTCCAGAACTTTTGTACTGGCAATTATTATCTCTTGGCTTGCAGTAGCAACTGTCTTCCCAGTGATTCGATGCACCTGGTAAAATGCATGAGGTCGTAAATATCGATCATCTGCTGTCCCAATAAACATTTGTAGATTTATCGGCTTTTCGTTATAGCCCAGGAGCTAATCAGGAAGAAGAAACACAGAAAAAGCACAATTCATTATCCATACATTTTACAATAAGCCAACAATGGTAAATCTATTATATCTCTATTATATACTATTGATACACAAAATGTTATTTCAAAAAATACAATCAAAAGTAACCAGTGAGCAGCCCTACAAATTTCCAAATTAGTTTAAGAGATGAAACACTGGAATATGTTACATAAAGGGATATTTTTTTTAAAAGATAAATATCCAGATCGACCAAAATTGTACAAAGCTTTCTGACGCTGCTGTAGAAAACACACCAAAAATACTGATTCTGTACTCTGGGCAACAATACCCATTCAGAACAGACCATTAACCATTCAGATTTGGACCATATGGGAAGGTCCTAAAAAACTATTAAATCAGAGACACTTTGTTTTAGTAGAAAGAGTCTGAAAACCCCTATTCCATATATTATAAACTTAAAATTTCAACTGACTTAACAGGCCTGGGCTACTTGACTTTACTTAGTATTCCTTCACTACTGCTAAGGTTAACTATATTAGACTGACATGGGAGAACTGCTGGAAGCAAAAATAGTGATCACAAGAAAGTAGGGAATTAAAAGAAATAGAACCTGAAGATGTATACAAATAACACTTAAGGAGACATGGATGGCTGCGTAGCACTGACCTGACCCTTCTTGCAAATAACAACTATAAACTGGAACAAATATAAAGAATGACCTGCCGGGCACGGTGGCTCACACCTGTAAGCCCAGTACTTTGGGAGGCCAAGGTGGATGGATCACGAGGTCAGAAAATGGGGACCATCCTGGTTAACATGATGAAACCTTGTCTCTACTAAAAATATAAAAAATTAGCTGGTTAGCCGGGTATGGTGGCACGCACCTGTAGTCCCAGCTACTCAGGAGGCTGAGGCAGGAGAATTGCTTGAACTTGAGAGACGGAGGTTGCAGTGAACCCAGAATGCGCCACTGCACTCCAGCCTGGGTGACAGAGCGAGACTCCATCTCCAAAAAAAAAAAAAAAGAATGGCCTGATGGAGAGCAACCAAAAACAAGCAGATACTGGAGGCAAGTTGAAACATACATTTTAACATATGTGTTATTACAAAGGGCATGTTTCCTGTTTTTATGGCTTTTAAACTGAGAAAAAGCCACAGTGCATGCCTTACAGACCAGCTAAAACTCCCATTAAAAAAAACCTACAACCCAAATTCAGGGCTTCAAAGAACCAAGCACATTTAGCACCAAGGGTCACTTAAAACAAAACAAAACAAAAAAGAACCAAGGACAAAATCTGGGACAACCACAGCCTCTGGAAAGTGATAAGGAAGCCCCAGAAAGGGGACAGAGGCAGGGAGCTCCAAACTATACATATAAACTCTGCCCAAACCTTTCTTTGGTTGACCTCTAACCATGCTCAAACAGGACAGACCCCAAGGCTAAAAAAACTGAAAGAGATTTTGAGCTGCCACCAACCACAGGGAGACAAGTTTCCCAGGCTGACTCCAACCAAGTTAAATGCCTACTTAAACAATTTCAACAATCTTCAGGAGAAGGGAGGGAGAGAGTGACTGAGAAAGGAAGAGGGGGTGGGGGGGAGAGAGAGAGAGAGAGAAAGAGAGGGAGAGAGAGAGAGAGTGTGTGTGTGTGTGTGTGTGTGTGTGTGTGTGCGCGCGCGCGCGCGCGCACGCACCTTTTGTTTTCGATGCCTTTGTTTCTTTTTTATTGCCTAATTGCTCTGGCTAGGATTTCTAGCATAAGGCTGAATCGCAGTTGTGAAGGCAGGCATCCTTGTCTTGTTCCTGACATTAGAGGGAAAGCTTTCAGTCTTACACCATTAAGTATGATGTCAGCTGTGATTTTTCAGGAATGCCCTTGATCATGCTAAGTTCCCCTCTATTCCTAGTTTGCTGTTTCCTTTTGCCTTTTTTAAATCATGAAAAGCTGCTGAATTTGAGGCTGTTGAATTTTGTCAAATGTTTCTTCTCCATCAACTGAGATGATCACGTCATTTTTCTCTTCATTCTAGTAATGTGGTATATTACATACATTAATTTTCATATGTTGAACCACTCTTGCCTTCCTGGGATAAATCCCACTTGATCATGGTGTATAATCCTTTTAGTGTGCTGCTGAACATTTTGTTGAAGACTGTTGCGTGTACATTCATGAAGGATACTGGTTTGCAGTTTTTGTCTCTTGTATCTTTGTCCCCATCATTATCCATTTGACTTAAAAAAAAACTGTCACTGCCCCACTGAAATTCCTCCATCGCTTCACTTATACGGAGACCACTTTTTCCTCACAGTAATGTAGGATCTTTATGATAGTAATTCTAAAGTCTCTTCCCAATACCTAATCTAAGCCTTCTCTCAGTCTGCTACCATTGACTGTTTTCTCTCTTTAATGAGGGTTACAATTTCTCATGTGTGTGTTTGTATGTGTGTATGGATGTTTATTGTTTTAATGGATATTGAATATAAAAAAAGTATACAGTCTCAGGCAGAAAATATTTACCTCCAGAAAGGGTCATGCTATTTCTTTTGTAAGGTCACAGTTCTTAAACTGTCTAGACTTTATCTGAAGCTACAGTCTGATTCATTATAGCAGTGGCTTCAAAGGCCTGGCAGGTGGAATGTCTTTCTCTTCTGCCTGGTGAGGAATCTGAGTAATGGCCAGATTCCAGAGATCTACCTATGCTTTAAAACCAAGTCCCCAGCCCTTCAAACTGTTGGAAGATCTTCCTCTGATTTACCACCTGGCTGCTAATTTTTAATCTGTGAGGAGTTCTCTATGCTCTTCAGTCTTGCTATTCATTTTTGAGCCTCAGGGTTATCTCTTCAGCTATGTTACTAAATCTTAGGTCTTTTAAGACCTGGCTGGGGCCGGGCGCATTGGCTCACGCCTGTAATCCCAGCACTTTGGGAGGCCAAGGCGGGTGGATCATAAGGTCAAGAGATCGAGACCATCCTGGTCAACATGATGAAACCCTGTCTCTACTAAAAATACAAAAAATTAGCTGGGTATGGTGGCGCGTGCCTGTAACCCCAGCTACTCAGGAGGCTGAGGCAGGAGAAGTGCCTGAACCCAGAAGGCGGAGGTTGTGGTGAGCCGAGATCGCGCCATTGCACTCCAGCCTGGGTAACAAGAGCGAAACTCCGTCTCAAAACAAAAAAAGACCTGGCTGGAGAGAGATTTCTTTCAGCTCTCCTGATAATTAATACTCCAGTCTTTGTAACTGAGAACCTAGAATGCCTAAGAGTTTCTGCCTTCAGTAGGTAAAGCTATGAAATGAGGGGGTCTCAGTTCTCCTGCCATGCCTCCTCTTCCTTGGGATGGTAGATTCCTTGCATTTGGTAGAGTCTTACAGGTGAGTTTTATTCCCCTCTACTTGCTCAGCCTTGGCTTTACAGTGGAATTTGTAACCAGGCAACTTCATAATTTATTGGTTATCTCCTGTACCCAGAAGAAGACATTAAGACTTTTGCCTATTATTAGATAATACAATTTTACTCAGGGTAGTTTTCGGTCCTGTAACAATTATAAAAAAGCAATTAAAGCCTGGATTATTGCAATAGCCTTATAAATGCTCTCTGTCTTCATTCTTGTTGCCCCATAGCCCATTCTCTATCCAAGAGCCAGAACAAACTTGTAACATGAATTGGATAACTTTTACTCCCCTGCTCAGAACTCCCTAATGACGTACCTCCACATTTAGAACTAATTCAAATTCCCTATGATAGTTTACAGTGTACAGTGATTAGGGCTCTGGCTAAATTGTTGGCCTTACCTTGCCTGCTCTCTCCCTTCCACAGTCTGCTATAGCCTTGCTGGCCTTATTGCATGAACCACTCAAGTTCATTTCTAATGTCAGGGTTTTCACACTTAATATTTTATCCCTCTGAAACATCATTCCCTATGATCTTCATGTTACTTCACTTGATTCAGATATGTAAAGGTCAATTCCCTCTGAGAAGACTACAATATTTAAAATATCGTATCTGTCTCCTTATTCTGTGCTTGCCTACATCGTATAGTAAGTATAAATTCCTGGCCAGGTGCAGTGGCTCATGCCTGTAATCCCAGCACTTTGGGAGGCTGAGGCAGGTGGATCACCTGAGGTCGGCAGTTCAAGACCTGACTGACCAACATGGAGAAACCCTGTCTCTACTAATAATACAAATTAGCCAGGCGTGGTGGTGCATGCCTATAATCCCTGCTACTTGAGAGGCAGGATAATCATTTGAACCCAAGAGGCAGAGTTTGCTGTGAAACAAGATTGTGTCACTGCACTCCAGCCTGGGTGACAGAGCTAGACTCTCTCCAAAAAAAAAAAAATTAATTAAAACAAAAAATTCCTGCCCTTTCAGGAGCTTCAGGCAAGCATATAATAAAAATCAATTAAGCCTCCATGAAAGAGAAAGGATAAAATCACAGAAACAAGGAAGAGGGCTGAAGCACTAAAATCACGTATGCTCAAAGTTTCAACTAGGATGAAGGCAGGATCATAAATAGAAAGTGGAAATGGAAAGGGCTGAATGCAATAAATCTTTACTGGAAGGCCCTAAAGAGATTTTTGTAACTATTACACATAGAATAATGAATCAAATAAGTCAGAAGTTCTGAGCTTCAGTACCCAGGAGAATGGTAGTATCACTAGCAAATAAAGTATAGGGCTGGATATCATGGCTCACACCAGTAATCTCAACACTTTGGGAGGCTGCGGCAGGAGGACTGCTTCCGGGCCGGAGTTCAAGACCAGTAACACAATGAGACCCCATCTCTACATACACACACACACAAACACAAAGCTGAGCATGGTGGTAGGTTCCTGTAGTCCTAGCCATTGGGAACTCAAGGAGTTCACTGTAACCCTGAACTCCTTGAATCCCAGAAGTTCAAGTTTACAGTGAGCTATGATTATGCCACTAAACTCCAACCTGGGTGACAGAGTGTGAGACCTTGTCTCTTAAAAAAAAATAAAGTGAGGAATTCACTGATT